TAGAATGTGCATGTATTGTTTGGGATCCGTACACAATAACTAATATCATTAACCTCGAGCGAGTGCAGCGAAAGGCAGTTAGATTTACATTTAACAAATTCTCAAGGCAGGATTCATCCACAGAACCTATAAACGCTAACCGCATTGAACCACTCGAAATGAGAAGACAGAAACACAAAATAAAATTTCTTAAACTAGTTTACACGAACAATACACCCCTAGACTCATCATTATATCTGTCGCAACTAATAACCCGAACCACTCGTCACCGTAGACAAGATGCATTAACACCCTACTTCGCGAGAACGAATACAATTAAAAGTTCTTTTTTTCCCTCGTGCATTACCTGAATGGAATTGCGTAATCGAATCGACACCAAAATGCTGATTGTTATTATTTGTTTGTATAGCGTTTCGCCAAACGTATGACTTGATGTCTGTATTAGTGTTCTTGTTTCAATTATTCTTTTGTTTTCGACATGTTCACTGTTGTACCATTTTATTTGCCCTCCCTGCTTGAGCTAAGTGTCCACAGTATTAGATAAATAATTAAAACAACGTGACATAGGTAGACTTGCTTTGGGAGCACACGGCAATACCCCAAATCAGGGGGACATGGAGACATGGGATGGACATCGTTTGAGTGCAGGGAAGCTAGCAACAAAATAGAATTTGAGGAGCGATTGAGAAAAAATGGGAGAGGAGCGTTGGGTTAGGAAAGTTTTCAGTTACTTTCACATAGGAATGTCGATACTAAATGGAGAAATGAACTAAAAAATTGTCAAGCAAGTATTTAGACAACAGCAGAATACCAAGCCAAAAGGAAACATTGGTTAAGAAGAAGGTGAAGGAAACAGAGAGGGACATGGGAAAGATGGGAATGTTTACGAAATCATCACTGGAGACCTACCAAACTATTTAGAAGGAAATTTCAAGGAAAAAGATCTACGATAATTGTCGGGGTAGTTCACTGCTCTTCGAGGCTAGAACGGGAGTATTGCGGACCAAGACGTACCGAGGAAAATACGAAGGCACAGACACGATATGTAGTGCATGTGGAGAGGAGGAGAAAACGTCCGAACATTTATTATTGTTCTGTGAAGGGCTCCACCCTATTGTCGGAGATAATAGTGCCGAATATTTCAAACCATTGCGGTTTATGGACAATGGAGGTGAACTAGACCTAATAGGGGTAGAAATAATCAGGAGGTGCCTAACTGATTGGTGGCTACAATCGAGGCGCAAATGAAATTCAATTCATAAACACACAGTGATAACACTTAACTTTAAGGCTAGCTGGCGTGAGCCACCACCCGATCAAAAGGGCACAGCCGGATCCATCCATCCATCCATCCATCCATCCATCCATCCATCCATCCATCCATCCATCCATCCATCCATCCATCCATCCATCCATCCATCCATCCATCCATCCATCCATCCATCCATCCGTGTGCATATGATAAAAAACCACAGCATATCCACGGAGTGAATGATGATGAGTGGGGCGAAGCGTCCGTCAGCCCTTCCGTGCTGCCGTCCGTCTATTCTTTCTTGCTTCCGTCCGGCCGCACGACCATCGGTGCGTCAATCCATGCGTCCGTCCGTCCCTTGCGTCCATATAATGAATACTCCTAGTACCACCATCTCCCATCTCGCAAATCCTGTGGCCCATACACACTCTAGACCGGGTATGTATGTAGCCATTGGTGGCTACATACATACATACATACATACATACATACATACATACATACATACATACATACATACATACATACATACATACATACATACATACATACATACATACATACATACATACATACATACATACATACATACATACATACATACATACATACATACATACATACATACATACATACACATATATACATAAATACATAGCCTCGCCACGGTGGTCTAGTGGCTAAGGTACTCGGCTGCTGCCCCGCAGTTGCAGGTTCACATCCCGGCTGCGGCGGCTGCCTTTCCGATGGAGGCGGAAATGTTGTAGGCCCGTGTGCTCAGATTTGGGTGCACGTTAAAGAACCCCAGGTGGTCGAAATTTCCGGAGCCCTCCACTACGGCGTCTCTCATAATCATATGGTGGTTTTGGGACGTTAAGCCCCACATATCATGCTCTTTGGCAAATGACCCTGAATGTTAAAAAGTCTGCTCTCTTGAGGATAACAAGAAAAAAGCAAGTATCTGAATTTGTTTACGTTATAAATAACTCTCCACTTCCGGTAGTGACTGAACACAAATATCTAGGTTTAACTTTAACGCAAGATTTTAGACGGGATATCCACGTTAGTCATGTCACATCAGCTGCATTAAAACGGCTGTTTTTCCTTCGTAGAAGTCTCGCTTCTGCGCCACCTGAAACGAAACTTCTAGCCTACAAAGCGTTCGTCAGACCTGTCTTAGAATATGCAAACGTCGCGTGGTCTCCCTTTACAAACAATCTCATAAATGCCTTAGAACGAATACAACGAAAAGCGATAAGATTTGTCTATAACAAGTACAGAATAACTGACTCACCCACAGAACCTTTAAAAAAAGCAGGTCTCTTAACAATAAAAAACCGCGCTAAACTGGCACGTCAGAAATTCCTATATCAGTTAGTTCACCAACAGCTAAACATAGACAGTTCAAAGTACATGTCATTTAAAGAAACAAGGCCAACAGGACAAAAGCATTCTCAGACACTGAATGAATATCAGTGCTGGACGGACTGTCTGAAATATTCTTTTTTTCCACTAGCAATTCGCGAGTGGAATAACTTGCCAATCAGTATAACAAACAGGCAATCACTGGAAACTTTTTCATCCCTGCTCGAATGTTATTTATTGTCATCAGAATTGACGAACTCTGTTTTTTTCTTGTCCACTGTTTGAAGTGCTCACTATTCTTTTTTTTTCAGTACTAGTTGGAATTGATGTCCTATGCTACTGAATGTATTTTAGTGGTACTGATGTAGTCATCAAATGTATTTCTGTCGGTTTTGTCTCACTCCTTATTATAATAATTCAGTGAGTACCCTCTGTATAAATCTTGCCCTTTCACAATGTATGTGCCCTTCCTGCAATAATCCCTGTTGGGATTGGCAGTATATGTAAATAAATAAATAAATAAATAAATATCATACATACATACATACATACATACATACATACATACATACATACATACATACATACATACATACATACATACATACATACATACATACATACATACATACATACATACATACATACACACACACACATACACACACACACACACACACACACACATACATACATACATACATACATACATACATACATACATACATACATACATACATACATACATACATACATACATACATACATACATACATACATACATACATACATACATACATACAAGGGATGCACAGACCAACTCCATAAGGAGCTTCGCCACTAAAACCCTGCGATTCATTTAGTCAGGTGTTAGTTAATAGCAAACCACGGGCTATTTTAACTCAAACAGCGTGTGTCAGCAGCTCCGGAACCAGTGAAGATAAGTCTGTGATGGGTCTCTGATGAGTCTCTGTCTGGGGAAATGGCAACTTGGCGCTCCGCTTTTGATCTCTCCTTGGAGTGTCTGAAGCCAACATTGAAGACTGATAGCTGAATGGATGAGCGGGCCAAGTGGAGTAGTGAAGAGGCCAGTGAAGAGCATGACAAAAAAAAGAATAATAGCTGAGTGAATTCTGAGCGCGTTTCAGCGGAGACAGCTGAGTACATTGTTGCATCACCTTTTGAAGACGGTTGAAACTACTTTCGATAGAGAAGAGGCTTTGTCTGGAGAACGCTCGCACGCTGGTCCAGTCCTCGTGGTCTGCTGAGGAGACATAATGAGCGGGTGAGTGGTCCGCTCCGTAATATCGCTGGCTCACACAGCATGCTGTGCATGCGCAGTTGGTGTTGCACTTGTTCGCGGGGCCTCTGTCGATCTGCTTGTCTGTCTGCCCATTCGTGCGTCCGTCCGTCCCTCTATCTAGTGAACACTCCAAGTACAGCCATATCGCATCTTCTCACCGCGATCATGGTCGCGTGATCGTTTCTCTCCTTCCGCTGTGAAAAATACCCGCATATTCCCTGTGGCACACACCCGCTCTCTCGGGCATGTGCCACCGGCGGTTACGCACAACGACAACGGGGGACGCAGAAGCCATGCCATAAGGAGCTTCACCCTAATAATAAATGTCACTATCGCTGCAGGAATCAAACCGCAGCATTCTGCGTGGCAATCAAGTATTCGACCACAGAGCCAGGTGAGATCTCGCAAATGCTATAGAAATAGGCCCCTATGTTCGCGAAACGTCAGTTCTGGTTGCAGTACTGGTTATCAAATTTTATAAACATTACTTATGATCTCATATGATGCAGCCGTCGTTTCGAGTTAACGTCAGTGGTAGTTAGGCACCAACCGCTGAGGTTAATTTGTGTACCAGTGTTGAGAGATCCTTGTGAGCCCCAGCGAGACGCCAGCGCTTCAAATGAGCTTTCTGTTTGTGGTGTATCTAATATTTATGTTGATGTTGGCATGGTCACGCAACTGCAAACAACTGTTAATATGAAACGTACGCATTCAGTAATGTAGCTTTGTGGGCGAGTAGGTTCCTATTCAATCCTTATTGTGTTCAGGCGCAATTATCTGGTAAGCAAGCGTCTTATGCAATCGTTAAAAATTTATACTCAGGAGGCTATTTGCAAAGCATCATGAAAACTAGGCACTTCAATATTCTATTTCAGAAGTGGTACCAAATCAGCTGCTATTAGTGGATTGTGAAAGCAGTGGCGAGAAATAAGGCTGATCAGCCAAGACGCACCCGAGCAAGCATTTCTTGCATGCGACATTTTAGTTCACAACACGTTTAGTCCCACTAATAAGGTAAAACGTGGGTTATATTAGGATACGAGTATATAATTCACATGAATAATACCACACACGCACCTATACAGTGACACACGGTGTTTTATAAAATTTTCAATACAAAAAGCAAAACATGGATCTGCTAGCATCTATATTTGTTTCTTCAAAAAACGTCAACAGAAATGGCTTCAATCGTGTAGTAGTGGGAGGCCCTGTTCCCGGATAACTAGGGCGAGGCCTATCTGCAAGAAATGCAAGAAAGAGAGAAGGTGCATGTTCTTAAAGAATTAAGGTATCTAGAAGAGCACGGCTCAATAATGTAAACCCGAATTAATTAAGCAGTGGAATGCTCCCAGACCATTCTACGTACAATACTTTTTCGGTTTTCATAACTTTCAAATAGTATGTAGGAAGACAACCAAAAATCATAAACACGCTTTCAAAAATAAGCAACTAAGGCACGTGGTTATGAGATGCAGCAAATAGAGTGAATGTTGTTCAAAAATTAAGGTGATGGCGTTTATTTTTACAGTTTTCTGAAAGGAAGCTGCGCTGGAGTCATGCAAGTAAGCTGAAATGTTCATTTTCCCGCAGGAAATTTCTGATGTTGTGTTCAATGAACATTCGTGAGGCCAACTCAGACTTTAGTGAACCCTAAAGAATGCAGCACATGAAGCGGAATAGCTTCTTGACTTCGGGGCAAATAATCTGCGTGAAACATAGCACTTATTTTCTTCGAAGTCAAATAAAAAGAATCGCAAGTCACGAACACGAGCCGTACGTGCGACTCTGGTGAGCGATTATGAAGAAAGCATTCCGGTGTCGAGGGATACACAACAAACGAACGCAAAGCCACTATCTCAAATTTACACTGCACACTGCTGTAACTGGCCGCTAAATTGTGGAGCTTACTTGTAAACTAAGTTTGAAGTTTTCATAACGCAGTGTTAGCGCTGTAAATATCTATTGTTTCTCGTGCTGTTTTCTAGACCACCACAGTGAAAGGGCCCAGGCGCTTTCTTTTCACCCGTTCAGTGGTCGTCAACACATCATGGTTCCTCCACACGCAACCACCAACAATCTTGGCTTGTTAAAAAAAAATAAAAAATTGGCACACTGTCGGGGTTTCGAATACACCCCGCCTTCCGCTCACCCATCTCACCCACACTGATGGACAGCCTGAGGGGAATAAGGCAAGGGCACGACCTTTGAAAGAAGCGATGAGTGTGTAATCTCTTCGCGTAGGGCTGTGGCCACGAGGCGTCGAATCCGCAATATTGCCGTACTTTAAATGAGAGATAATAGAGTTATTATTATTATTACTATTATTATTATTATTATTATTATTATTATTATTATTATTATTATTATTATTATTATTATTATTATTATTATTATTATTATTATTATTATTATTATTATTATTATTATTATTATTTATTATTATTATTATTATTATTATTATTATTATTATTATTATTATTATTATTAATACAGCCTGTCAATGCACAGAATATGCATTGCGATCAACAATGAATAAGCAACATTTCTGCTAACCTCAGAACGCAATTTTTTTTTTTGCATCAGTGAAGCAAACGCATGTGCCACACTTCACTGCTATACGCTAGTGGGTATAAGATATGCGTCGTGTACGCAGTTCAGAAACACGCGCGCCACACATTTATTACTTGAAGCATTTCCTTGCATATAGTTTATGTGGTTCCCTTATACATTTCTTAAAGCATATCAATTATAAATGTAGTGACCATGGTTTAGTTGGACATTTCTTATGCAGGTCAATTAAAAATGCAAAACGTGAGAGTGAAACGACTTTCTTTGAATTTCATATGAATTAAATTTTCAATGAGAGTACTCATCAGAAGATGCCGTTTATTTGACCATTGGTTGAGTCAAAAAGCCCTCGGTACGTTGTCAATTAAAACTAAAAGTGCATTTTTGTAAGGGTATGACTGGTCGTATGAATAATGTGTAAGCTTCGTGCAAACTTGGACAACTCAGGCACGAAAGACCACTTCACTCTAGATAACTCCAGGTGCGTGTAACCCGCACGACAGCGACGATGCCACTCAAGCTGTTTCTACTGTTCTTTCAGGTTAGTGAACCCAAAGCATCATACTTAAGAGTTCTCTGTGTTTTGCCGATTTCCCCCCAAACGCTTTCTAACGAATAACGATGCTGCTGACTTAGGTGACAGTCCAAATATCAGTCCCGTCTTTTGCAATGCTACGCTTTGTACTTTCTTTTGCTTTTATTGTGCGTGGACGAAGAAATAATCCTGGCTCTTTTAGTCAGGAAATGTAACTACTCCTTGACGGACAAAAAGATATTAAGTTAAAGCTTATGGCCAGTGAGGTAACACAGACAGAAAACAAAAAAAAAATGCCATTGATGACCTCGAAAGACGCATCATATCAATGAAATCGAAGTTATCGAACTTTGATAGACTTTGTGCAACTTTCAGAGAGTTTACAAATGCATGTGACGACCAGCGCTGTCTTAACTCGTCACTGACGTAGAAACTAGACAATCTTCAAAATGCAGTTTCGTGTTCTATGGCATAAGAGAAACTCATAACGCCGAAAAAAGGGCAGATCATGTTGTGATCCTTTAGTACTTCAACTGTGTGATCCTCCGTATGGTTTACGCAGCTTGTCAGTCGAGTGGGCACATCTTCTTGGCAGGTTCCTCCGTATGGTTTACGCAGCTTGTCAGTCGAGTGGGCACATCTTCTTGGCAGGTTTCAAACGGGAAGCAAATTGTCCTCCCAATCTCACGGTTTTCTTCCTACAAAAAAAAAATTGGTATTAAGAAATGCACAAAAGAATAAGAACAGCCAGGTTTCAATAAATGTAGACTTTCTTGGCGTAGTACGTTCTAAATGAAAGCAGCTGTAAAATATTTGTGAAACCTCGTGAGAAGGAAGGCAACAAAGTCAGTCTACGATACGACACTTTGTTGTTGAATGGCACAAAGTATGCTTATAATGAATATTGAAAGCAGATTGTTTCCTTAAATTGACGTAATAACGGTGACAATAATACAGTTACATTTCTAGTGATAAATTCTCAAAGCATGAAAAAAATGTGGATGAATTTGGCAGCGTTATTGATTTGAATAAATCAACAATGGTCATAAAAACCGAGTCAGTTAGATGATAATATGGCAGACGATGAAATTTTTGCAGACAATTGCACATGCTACAGCAAAGACCTAAATTCCAGAGTTGGCAGAGTTTTCATACAAGTAGAAAATAGCCTTTCGCCGGTCCAGCTTCCTGTTCAGGTCGGAAAATGTAAAGCTATTATTTGTCAAATAACGCTTTTCTAACTAACGTACTTTGACTATTTTTAGTTTTTATAGGCCACCTGGTTCTTTGGCTGATACAATACGTCAGTTCAGATCTTCACCTAAAACGATACAGGCATCACCTTAAAATGATGCAGGCATCACCAAAGTCATCACCTTTTTATAGGTGGTGACTTTGATTGATATGTGAGGTTCAGCGTTCCAGAACCACCATATGATTATGAGAGACCACGTAGTAGAGAGCTCCGGGAATTTCGACCACCTGGGGTTCTTTAACGTGCACCCAAATCTCAGCACGCGGGCCTACAACATTTCCGCCTCCATCGGATATGCAGCCGCCGCCGCCGGGATTCGATCCTTCGACCTACGAGTAAGCAGCCGAGTACCTTAGCCACTAGACTACCGCGGTGGGGCATAGGTGGTAAATTTAATCTTCCAAATGCCGTACGCGATGCTCAGGGTTCGCTAATTTCATATGATGTTCGCTTGTGCCAGGTAGTTATGGTTATAGGGAATTTATTTACGCTGCCTCAAATGTAGTCTCAAGTGAAAAGACGAGATCACGTACTAGATCTGCTGGTAATAAACCAACCTCATTTAGTGACTACTGCTGTAGTAGCTACTGGCATTTCTGACCACAGTGTTATAATATCTGAAATGGAACTTAAGCATGTCAAATGTGCTAGCAGTGTGCCGAGACGTGTATACGACTATTCGAAGGCTCAGTTAGGAGGACTACACGAGGAACTGAACACGTCTTATGATGTTTTCGCAATGGAAGCTGAGTACGAAACCACATATAAGCTATGGGATATCCTAAAACACCAAGCTGCTAGACCTGGGCCAATGTTTTATACCATCAAGATCAACGTTTATACCATCGCTTTATACCATCAACACATATCAGAAGTAAACCTTGGTTTTCCAAAGCATTACGCAGCCTTATGTGGAAAAGGCAAAACCTTTACCAGAATTTTTTTACGAGTACCATCAAGTGATAACTCCAAAAAACTAAAAGAGGTCATCATTGAGAGGAAGAGAGAAATTTGCGTAGCCAAGAATGCTTTCAGTCAAACTATTCAATTGAGAAATAAGTATGACCCCAAGCAATTTCGGAAACACACGAAGAGGAATGGTAAAGAGACAATATTCCGTCCATTATATCGAAAGACGCTGTTGTGTTCGAAGACAAATATATGGTAGAATGTTTCCATCAGTAATTTGCTTCTGTCTTCTTTACTTTGACGACAAAAACCAAAAAAGAACATAGTTCGCAAGATCAGATAGCCCGAATAGGTAACATGGATGACGTTGTTATCAGTATACGTGGCATAGAGCTGTAGCTCCTAAAACTACACGTTGGTAAGAGTAAAGGCCCTGATGGTCTGACAACAAAATTGTTGAAAATTTGTGCTCAACATCTCGCTTGCTGTTTATTAAAATGCTTTTAAAAATCATTGGTGGAAGCTTCCCTGCTCACTAATTAAATGGTTGGCCATAAAGCTGGTGTGCGAAATTACTCACGTAATTACTGTCCCACTTGTTTAACGCGTGTGGCATTCAAACTGCTAGAGCACATATTATACTCAAGCATTGTAGCCCATATGAATGCGTACTCTATATTTATTCGTAATCAGCATGTTTATAGGAAAAAAAATCTTGTACAACACAGTTACTCGAATTCATTCATGACGACCGCAGTGCTCTCGACAAGCGACTCTCGGTAGACTGAATCTTCATTTCAGGAAGGCATTTGACACTGTGTCGCAATCATTTCTAGTTGAAAAATTTTATTCCTAAAACATTATTACGAGAGGTATTGCCTGGATTGTATAATACCTAAGGATTCGCAAACAATATGTAGCTATTAGTGGTCTTGAGTCATCGAGAAGGGACGTCAGTTTTGGCGCACCTCAAGGCTCTGTTTGAGGTCCCCTTTTGTTTTTTTTATTCATAAATGGCGTAGTTGAAGAAGTTGTATCGCGTTTGAGACTGTACGCTGATGACTGTGTTTTATGTAGGCCTAATAATAAAGTAGACGAATGTCGTGTTTTGCGAAATGATTTGTCAATGATCAGTCAATAGTGTAGCAAATGGAAAAAACTTTAAGTCTAGCTAAGACCGTTTTTGTGTGATTTACAAAAGAGAAGAATGTACATTCATTACAGTATACTTTAGAAAACGTTCCATTGTCTAAAGTGAATATATAAATATCTTTGTGTATATCTAACAAATGACTTCAAATGGCATCGTCATGTTGATCACATAATCGCAAGTGCAGCCGAGCAATTAGGGTTTTCAAGGCGCAATACGTAAGGTTTCATTATGGCCAATGAAAAACTGTTCTACAAAAACTTTGTTAAGTCGATTTTAGAATATGCATGCAAAATGCGGGACCCTACAATGGTAGGTGACAAAGAATGCACAGAAAAAGTAGAGAATTTCGCTTCAAGGTTTGTCACTCCAAATTACACACTGATTTTTGTTTAGTGCTTGTCAAGCCAAAGAAAATTTGAAATGGAATACGCTAAAAAATCGCAGGAAAAACTTCGTATAAAACTCCTTCATAACATTTTTCGCTGTAACGTTGGTATTGATCGGCAACAGTATCTACTTGAACCTCCTTATGTGCCCACACGGGCCGATCAATAACATAAAGTGCGTGAAATGTTCTCCGGTACAGAATCCTTTAGAATGTCATTTATTTTTCGAGAACAACACAAGAGTGGAACAGGTTACCTGCTGCCGTAGTTGATAAAATATTTATTGATACGTTTTGTGCCTTCCTGACATAGCTTTTTTATATCTTTTTGGCATACTTGTATGTAATTTTATTTATTATTGTACCAACTTCTTCATGTTCTTACTTGTTATATTTGATCGTAAACCCGCAATATTCTGTTTACGACCTCAATGTAATGTATTTGATGGCGCTGTGCGTATTGCGTAAACAAATAAATAAAACAAGGGCGCTTTCGCAATTACCTACTACCATTTATAAACTGTCTTACAGCCAGAAGGAACTTAGACTGCGTTAAATTTGAGAGTTATATTTTAAGGAGATGACAAGGTAGATAGCCTGTTTGATAACAGACTTGTATTCAATGGAGCAACCGCGGCCCATGTTAAGCGAGAAGACGAGGTTTTAGAATGACAACCATCGTCGTCGGTAGCATTAAGTGGTCTTCTGAGAGATATTCGGTATTTATTTTATTATTAAATTATTATTTAAATTTTATTTTATTTACGGAGACCCCACAGGCTCCTGAATAAGAGTAGTGCGTGAGGGAAGGCCAAATATTCATCAACAGAGGTAGTGATTTCGCGAAAAAGGTACATCCTTAAACAGTAGTTAATGGCATGAACACTTGAGGCCGGAGATATTGCAGGTAAGGCAGTCTATATTTACAGTAATATAGAACAACATTATAACAAATTCACTTAGGTATCAAATAAAAGGACAAAACAACTCGGCAATAAAATCTATCTAGAACACAAAGTTGCTCAGTTCGCTTCTGAACACGACTGGATTACGGATGTTAACAATGGAATCTGGAGTATTATCCAGAGTATTATCGCGCTAGGCAAAGCTGATGAATTGAAGGCGTTAGTGCAGCTCGGAAGGCGTTGGTAGCTGAGGTTATTATGAAGACGACGTGATGTACGGGATGGCTTTGTTAAGAGTAGGTCGAAAGGGCACTGACTGTAGTGTATTTTATGTAGAAGGGCGACAAGGGCTATCTTCCTACGTGTGTGCAGTGTAGGTAGAGAGCGGGAGAGCTTAATGTTTGTGACGCTAGAGTTTCGCTTATAGTCACCAGTGATGAAACGCGCTACACGGTTCTGTACGCACTCGGGGGCACGGATAAGATATGCCTGGTGAGAGGACCACATGAGGCACGCTTTTAGCGTTATCGAGGTGCCAGTGTCATTGCGAAGGCGAATGTGATCAGATGCGCTAGCAGGTGATATTGTTCGCCAGAATTTCTAGGGTTGTGCTTTAATAAAGATAGTAGGTCATGTAGCAAATACTTTTGCTTTGCATTGTGAACAGCACTGCGGTATGCTTTTTCTGAAGCTCTATGATTATTGGCTGCAGTGACTGTTTTATTTTTATTTATTTACAATATTGCTAGCCCTTGCGGGCTGTAGCAGGGGAGGGAGGTGAACAGGTGAACAATACACAAACAATGTTAGGCAAAAAACAAGTCCAGCTGTCGTTGAAAATCCTGTGAGGATCTACATCCTGTAAGTACCTCGGGAGGAAGCGCATTCCAGTCAACAATAGATCGCACCAGAAACGAAAACTTAAATACATCCACCCGCGGTACATAAGCTTGGACAGAAAATGAGTGATTGGTACGAGCCGACACTCGTTCTTGGGGGCGCAGGTATACACTGGGATCCAGCTTGTAGTTCTTATGATCCAGGTCATAAATAAATTTTAAGCGAGCTATTTTTCTACGTGTAGCTAACGATTGAAGCTCAGCCCTAGCAAGCAAAAGTGATACAGACTGTGTTTTCATGTAATTTCAATAAATAAACCTCGCGGCCAATTTTTGTACTCGTTCAAGTTTGTTAATTTCAGTTTTAGTATGCGGATCTCAGATGATAGCTGCGTACTCCAGCGTTGGTCTAACAATAGTCTTAAACGACAACAATTTAACAGGGGGCGTTGCATTACGGAGTTTCCTTCTCAGAAAACCCAGCTTTCGCTTCGCCAGTCCTGTAATGTTGTCAATATGCTTGTCCCACTTTAAACTGCTGGATATAGTAACACCTAAGTATTTAAACTCACTATAACTCTTAATTTCTCTATTGTTTATTGTGTATTTATAGTTAAGGGGGGATTTTTTATTTGAAATCGTCATGCAAACAGTTTTATCAAAATTAATTTTCATGTCCCATTTTTCACACCAGTTGTCAATACATCGAAGAGCATCATTGAGGAGCATTTGATCAGAAACACTTTTCACATGAAAAAACAAGAGACAATCATCTGCATATAGTCTTACATCAACAAAAGGAGGCACAACCGTTGCAATATCATTCACATAAATTAAAAAGAGTAGAGGTCCCAACACGGAGCCTTGTGGCAAACCTGAGGATACGCGTAAAAGAGAAGAACGTGCGCCACTTATTTCAACAAACTGCAACCTATTGCGCAAGTACGCTCCAACCCATCTTACAATTGCGGGATCAATACCAAGTATTAACATTTTTGAATAAGTTTCTGGTGACATACTCTATCAAAGGCCTTAGAGAAATCAATTGCTATGACATCGACTTGTTCTTTTGAGTTTATCGCTGTAGCGAAAGAATGAACAGATTCAAAAAGCTGAGTGACGGTTGAAAGGCCTTTTCTAAAACCGTGTTGCTTATTATAAAACAGATTATTGTTTTCTATATATTGAAATATATATTTTGAAATTATATGTTCTATTACTTTGCACGCCGTGCATGTGATAGAAATTGGACGGTAATTACAAACATTAAGGCGGTCACCAGCTTTGAAAAAGGGCGCAACTCTTACTAATAACCAATCAATTGGAACAGTGGCAGTACACAAAGATAAATTAAAAATTTTAACTAAGAAACTAGAAACCCAATTGGAGTAGCGCCTCAAAAATTCATTGGGAATCATATCCGGACCAGGTGATTTTTTATGATCCAATTCAAGCAGTAATGCCATTACGCCCTCTTTAGATACGGAAAGAAGATTGGAACTAGTATCATCGAACGTACAGCCTTTTTTTTTTGAATGATCAATACTTGGAGAAAAAACAGTACTGAAGTAATGATTGAGTGCTTCGGTAATCTGAATCGGTTCGCTATAGGAGGTCCCGTCTATAGAAAGCCCAGTTATTTCAGACTGAGAACTAGACAGGTACCGCCAAAATTTCTGGGAGAGTTGGATATGTATTCAGACAATATATTAGTTAGAAAATTACTTTTAGATTGCTTGACTTCTCTTCGTACCTGAGCACTAATGTGAGCAATAACAGACGAGTTTCTTGGTATTTTCTGACGGGCGCGACATAGTCGTCGTTTTAGGTGAATGATACTTCTGGTAATCCATGGGTTAGCTTTTGCAGTTCTCTTTTCTCTTTGGGGAACAAAACGTGACAAACAGTCGTTTACCACCTTCTTAAAGTATTCCCAGAGGTCATTTACATCATCTGTAGGCGGGATAGCGTCAAAAGCCATTTCTAAGTAATCAAGAATTGAGGTATCATGTGCGGCCTGAAAATTGTACACCTTTACTCTGGTTATTTTTTCTAATTTTTTATTTGGTTTAAAAGTTGCTGCAACCACCTTATGATCCGAATTTGATGCTGCAACCACCTTATGATCCGGAAGGTTTTTGAACCTTTGGCGATTTTAAACAAACGCTTTTTCCTATTTCGAAGAGTGCGAAGTTTTTTGTTAAACCATGGCTTTGAAGAACTAACGCGGGAAGATATACGTGGGATATGATTGTCAATTAGTTCCAATAACATTGTCTTATACAAAGACCAGTTATCAATTACTGAGCGATTGATAAAACAATCAAAAAAAGAAGTGAAAAATTCTTCCAAGCCACGGCTTATGAAATCGTAGTCAGCTCTTTTGTAATAAAAAATTTGTTTGTGGGTGGTGACACGTGCGTTAAAAGACGTAGTAATCGCGAACTCCAGGAGTTTGTGGTCGCTAAATCTGTCAGAGCAATAAATCTGATTCACCGCATCGGTCGCTGAAGCAATTACCAGGTCTAATGTATTTGGGCCCCTTGTTGGTTTGTTCACTAATTGCTCTAGGGAGAAATCTGGTATAAGTTCTATGAATTTACTTGTTAAGCTAGATCTGGAAATTAGGTTAGGCCAGTCAATATGCGAAAAATTAAAGTCACCGACCACGAGATTATCGTACGTGTAGGCGAGTACCACAACAGGCTAAGACGGGTAGAAGCTGGCGCATGACAAATTTCTTGCATTGTCACTCCAACATGCATTTTTGTAGAGAACTTTAACCTAAGGATCCCGCTACGGAAGCACAAAGCTTTCCATTCAGCGGTTTCGTTTCACAAGCTGGTACTCTCTAGAACAACACGTATCCAAGTTCCGAAATTGGGCGCATGTACATTTTGTACATGTGCCCAAATCAATTTACATGAACTGATTCAGGCCACCTGCACGCACGAAAATTTCTCTGTGGTACAGCAGCTGAGGACTGCCGCGAGTAGTGCAGAAGCTAAGGGGTTTACCACCACCTTGAAGAGCTCTGCTTTTAGATAACAGCGTTTTTGATTTGCAGTTTTTGTGCTTTCTTCGTGCGCTCTCTCATGTCACAGTAGCACAGACAGCTTGCCGAAGTGGGATGTTTGACGAGTTGAATTGAAGTGAATATTTATTTTCATGTTTGGTACTTGAATGGTGACTGGAGTAAAAGCTGCACTAAAGCAGCTTGACTATTTTCCGCTAGAAAAAAAGGCAATTCTTTAGAAAAAGACGTCACTGGAGAACAATGACAGAAGAAACATCAAAATGAACACCTGAGCAACGTAGAGTGCTTATGTCGCGTGGTCCAATTGTCCTTTTGTTGTGCTTTCATATGCAACGCCAACTGTTGTGAAATGTTACCCCCTCAGTTTGTGAATGCATTGTATACTGCTTGATCGATTGTGGCAAAACGTAATGATTGCCTTATTATGAACAATTCCTACAAGAATTCAGAGATCGTCTGAAAAGGATAACCTTTAGGACTGCTGGTTTGTTTCCAGCTATTCATCTATTATACCGTATAAAAACAACGGTGATCACATTGGCTTTACGATTTGCTGAGCATCGGGTCAACATGTGGTTTCTCGCTTTATTCGTCACTATTCTCCCCTTTGCATCACCAGCGTACTTTGGTAAGCTGTCTTGCAACTCAGGCTGCCAAGTATTCCGCATGGTAACGGGACACAAGCCTCCATAGACATCAAATAGAGCTAACAGCACAGCACAAAGCATAACAACCTCACTAAATTGTTGCAATGTTATACAAAATGAATCATCAGTCTCAAAGTAATGTGGTTTAGTAGTTGATGGCCAATGCAATTTTTTTCAACTGATAGAAAATTCGTGAACAGCTATTTAATTAGCAATGAACCTTCGTAAAGCCCATTTTCTGCTTGTCCTTGGGTGTTTTGCTGGCAAAAGGGCATTTACGTAGGTACTCAGTAAAAGTTTTCGTACGGTCTTTATTCGAGGTTATGAATGTTTCCTCAGTTATAGTGCCAAGATATCATATCGTTAGCAAATTTCTCCTTCATCAAGTGTTTTCATTTGCGCTTATAGCCCAGACTTTGTGTGGAGAGGATGTCCTAGATATATCTGTGGTTGATTGTTCGGCTGCGCCCTTGCAGGTGCTTATAAATTCGATTGCAGTCTATTTATATATCCGCACCCGTAAGCTTAGGCTCATAAGCAAACTTGCCTTTCCTGAGGACTTTTCAAGTAGCGTCCGGAACAACATCCTCACCAAGCACCAGGAGTTCTTTGTCTCGACAGCGCTGCTTCTTCCTGGACAGTAGTCTTGGCGAACAGCATTCGAGAACTGGTCGGCTGTCTTCCCAGCAATAAAGCCCCAATCTTGATACCGTTACGATTCACCACAAATACCCGTTTCACCGCATGCCACACGCATAGATAATCTTTGAACATGCGGCTTTGTCACAACCACTATGAAAGGGCGATATTTGTGAGCCTCTTGACATGACGCCTTGACGGCACGAAGACATGGCAGAGCGACTGAACATCGAAAGGACAAATGTATATGTGGTTTCTTCTGTGTTCAACAAATTAGAAAAAAATTGTCGTCGTGTAAACAAAAGGAGCAGAAATGTAAAAAGCGACAAATACTGTAGGATGTGGTGTTGAGCACCAATCGCAAGCAATTAGTGTGACTCGCATGTGTGTACCCGAACCCCCTGGCATTCGACGCCGTGTACACAGGGCATACAGAAAATTGTGTTAACGTTAGGATAAGAAAACATGATTCAGATGAACGAAGCGATGGCGTATTGCATATGGTTGTGCATTGTCGGCTGTGTAGATGTGAACCTCCATTCAGTGAAACGAGCATAGTGTCACGGCATCATTACCAGACAACTCGAGAGATTATCGAGGCTATACATATACAAAAAAAGAATGATGCAACGGCTTCTCTCACACCGGTTGTCATTCATTTATGTATGGCTTTGTTAGCTGTGTGAAGCCGTGTGTGGGTATGTATTTATGTTCCGCGAATGTGAATAAAAGTGCCGTGTAGAGCCGGCGGTGTATCGTGTTCCCCTTTCCGTGTGCATTCGTCTTACCTTGTGGCACCATTTCAGTAGAACAAACTCCCGAGGTATTGGTTGATGTCTTGAGGGATAAGATTCTGAGTGGGTCACTATAATGAATGTTATTCTTTATACGACTCTACTAAGCGCTCCTGACAATATTGGTTGTGTTGACTTTGTTTTGAATTGTTTTTGACTTTGGCTAACACTAGTGGTCACGCTTAGATGGCGGCAGCGCTGTATCCGGTGCAACGCTTGTCCCGGAAATTTTTCGCACATTCCCTTTCGGTCCAAGTCGGTGGCACGGCTAATAAAGCTTTGTTTTCTGTTTAAGAAAAATCTTGTCAAAGCTTCATTGTGCTTCGCGCATCTGGGAACTTTCTTTCTGTTGATAGTCGTGGTGGTACCGGTTCGCTATTTCGCTATGGCGGGCGTTAAATTTTGGGATGTTATCACACCTGCAGTCATATCTTGCAAGCTTTCTTGCAAAGAGACCCTCTAGTTGTATCTCCCAATGTTTCGCCCTCTGCACGCCGGTTTGTACGCACTGACATTGTAGCTTTTTTATTTATATTTCACAAAACATGCGATGGTAGGCTACGTTAGAGCCGACTATCCCAACATCATTACAGTAATGTACAAGGTAAACACGAAGATACGAAAAGTAGGATTGTCAGAGAAAAAAAAATTATTCAGAGGCACTATTTAAATACATACACTATAGGGATTTCTTAGATCTTTCCTCAGTTTGTCTCACCAGTCTTCCGCCTTTTACCTCGTAGTTATGCTTGATACTAAATTCGTTCTTCAGTTCTATATTTAATGGCCCTGATACAGTGCACTTATCATTCCAACGTTGCTGTAGTTATTGGGGCATATAATCAATTGTTTCGCCTTTTCGTCATTTGATTTGTTGACCTCTTAGGCGGCTACCGCAATAGTTACGATACCCTGCGCACATTCATAGCCCTCGAGCAAACGCGATATTGTAGTCATTCCTTTGTACGTGTGACATATTACTTTTTTCTTATCACATCGCGATAGTTGGAGTTCCTTCAATGAGGAAGGGTGGCCTTGCCCACTGCTCTCTGCTCCTCTGTTTCTAGCTTACTTCGAACCCCTCCTTACGTTAATGTCTTCTTGCACAATCGCGTGTCCTCCCACCGTCACCCCGACCTTAAGGACCGAGGAAACGGGCGTCACAGCATGTCATCTACAGGACTGGCCTTTCTGAGCAGCCACTGCGGGAAGGCTGGTGACACGTAGAATAGGGTCAGACCGAGTTTCGCGCAACACGTTTTGGGAAGAATGGCCGCATAATTTGTACAATCAAAATGATCACCTTAAACTTGCCGTTCACTGATTTCTGATGGTGTATGGTTTTGCCGATGCGAAGTTTCTTCCGTAGAATATACCTGCTTACATTGGCTGCAAGAACGTGGGTGAAGGTTGAAAGTGGTGTGGTATGCATCCGCCCGCTCATGCGATCATAGCGCTTCGTCAAAAAAAAAAAGAGGAAGTAAAACTACTTACACATAGGGGCACCATGTTCAGGTCATGGGATCCACCGCGAGTGAATGAAAATGGATAAAAAGTATTATCTGAAAAAAAAAAAAACTTACTTATAGATAAGGGCTCACCATTTCATATATTTCCGCACTGTTGAAGCATTATTGTTAAATGGGTCCTAAAACATTGCTCCGAAAAGTAACAAAATAACCTCAAGGTCTATACTTGCTACCTCACGAATAGCATTCCCAAAAAGGTTTTTCAAGTACGTATTGCACGAGTGGAGCTAAAGCCAATTGTCTCGTGCCATTTTTGTTAGTCCAGCCTAACGCGGTGGAAGCTACGAGGTAAGGGATGATACGGGGATAAGAAGGTACAATGGCACGCGTCATGAATTTGACAGGTCATTATGAAACGCGTTCACTCACTATTGATGGGAGTGTGGTGCGCAGTAGGGCTGTTTCAATGTATTTATAACGCACTCTAGAGCGCAGCGCACCGTGCAACAGACACACCACATCAAAACGCCACTTTTTTATTTACGTCATGGAACAACCAACAGCCGCGGTCTTTTAGACGATGAAACAGTGCTCACGCCGCAAGACTCCCCAAAGACAGAGAAGAGGAAATGGCACTTGAGAAAGCGGAAACATTGCGCATCACTTCAAGCGTTACTTGTCGCGAATGACGAATAATACGTTGAGATGATCACAAAAACGTCTGCTTTTCCAGAAAGCACGAGACGTGATTCAAGAACCACTTAAATTGCAGGGGCACACTACGATACCTTAAGCTTTCATGATACCTAATTATTTTGCTGCAGCGACCTTGCTACACTTGTGAGCGCTCTGTAAAGTCTCGCACATTGAGGCACGATACAAGAGTTTTCACTCAAAAATCATGTAAGCTTCATGAATAAATAGGCTTGAACGCAAATTTATAAGTATAGCGTTGTCTTCAGCTCAGCATTTTTTTTCGCCCATTATTAAATTCAGTTACATAGAACCTCTACGGCTCTTTTAAGCGGTACGCAATGAACATATGCAGAAAATTGTTATAATTGCTCTCCTCCGTGATTTTGGTGTTGCTCCCTGAAGCCTGTTGCATTGGTTTCATAGGGCACAAGATGGCAAAGAGGGTTTGTGAAGCGATGGGTAACATCGAGCCTCACTCACACAATTAAAGTAATCTAATTTATTTGGCCATCAGTACATTCACAAATGGGGAGCGCACAATCAAAGCTTTCCTTGAGTAGCATTAAGTGTACACGGGTCTTTTTTTCGACGACAAAGCAGCATCGCATAACAATGCGCTTTCTTTTTTTTCCCCAGTTAGCCTAACTTTCAAAAACACATATATCATCGCACTTGGCATATAAGCTCCTCGTTTGCATAAACAGCTGGCACAAGCGTGGGCGTTGTGCTGTTTTGTGACTCATCGCCATGTTTGCTTGCACGCAATTGATTTACCTCCATCTGCCTTTGCTACAGCAGATCATGATAATAGGCGGTGAAGAGTAATCCCTCCAGGCTCCCACTTGAAAGTTCTTTTTAGCAGGTTCGTCTGATAACGGTCCAAAATGTTGAGCGTAAGAAATGTGCTGATAATTATTGGCAATTAAGTGTGCCTTAAAGACGTGTTCCAGATGGAGGTGGAAATTCTTGAGTCCCATGAACTTGTATTTGGGTGTACATTAATCAACCAAGGTGGCCTGAATTCCGGAGCTCCACGCTATGACGCCTCTGATAATAATATTGTGGTTTTACGAGGTATATAGAACCCCGTAAATGTGATTATTACGAACATAATACAGCAGTTTTCACTTTTCATGGGTTTTAGGGGCGAAGCTTTTTCGGCTGTGCGTCGGGCGTCCGCGATGAACGTAATAGCAGTAATAGTAGTAGTAGTAGTAGCACTAGTAGTAGTAGTAGTAGAAGTAGTTGGTAGCCACCTCACGTTTAGTTCTTGGAATGTTCGATAGACGGTGCTCCGTCTATATGATGAACATATGATGGAAATAGTTATTCGATCATAAGGTGCTACAACTAACGTTTCGTCTTATATATACCGACCTCAAT